TGTGACATGTGTGAGCAAGTGTATGTTGAAAGTCATGTGGTTCTTTCCATAAAGTCTTTGAAACAACAAATAACAAATTGTTTAAGAGCCACTTCTGCCATCAAGATGCTTCTAGTCTTGATTGTATCCTGCAGTAATGTGTATATGCTGAATACCAAAAGGAATAGATTATTCCAAAATCTGACAGGGAGTATACCTTTCAATATGGGCAACGCATAGAAGAGGAGAAAGGCTCGCCATTCGGAAGCTTTCCAGAATTTTCTTTCACTAAGTGACCTTGGTGTCCTGGTTATCTCAACAGGAGGCTTTATTTTTTCAAGTCGCAAATCAATCTCTTTTATCTGTTTACCAATGTACCAGGGGGCTTCACTGTTTGCTGTATCAAGCCACAGTGTAGACAGTTGCCGAGTGACTCCAAGGCACACATTGTGTTGATATTCAGGAATGAAACCGTTTATCATTTGGAAGTGACCAAGCATCATTAAAGGAGATGGACCTTTAACTCCAAACACTGGCTCATCAACTGATGCTGACATTGCATGACTAAAACGATCCTTCTCATTTCGCAGGGGGGGTTCAGGTCTATCATGTGGATATGTCGTCCCACCTTTGTGATAGTAAAAATCAGACAAGTCATCTTTCCCAAGAACTCTGTCAGGGCCGCTCGGCGGCCGCTGGCTCTCCTCCGGTTTATACAGAGCACATTTTAAACCTGTCTGGAAGCACTAGCGCTTCAAAAAAGACTAAAATATGAACTGTGAAACTTCTACAGGAATCACATACCTTTCAGAACATTTAAACTAGGGCTGCAAGATTAATCGCAATCAAATCAAAATTTTAATGGTCACAATCAGCAAATCGCAAAGGCTGCAATTTTTTCGGCTATATAATATTTCTACACAAAACCAAATACTGTATATGGTTAAAACCTGCTTCCCTTGTTCTGAAAGGTATGTGATTCTTGTGGAAGTTTCACAGTTCATATTTTAGTCTTTTTTGAAGTGTTAGTGCTTCCAGACAGGTTTAAAATGTGCTCTGTGAACTGAATCTTGGTTTTAAAAACAATACCGCAAATCTTGCAATTAGATTTGCGATATGTGAGCGTAAATTTGGAACTGTTCAGTTGAGCTCAATAAAATACCGCAATCAATATTTGTCACATTTTTTTCAATATGTTTCACTTAGGAGCTAGAAGTATTACTAGGTTATTTGTAGTACACTTTGGGTGGCTGTGGCTCATGCGGTAGGGCACTAGTCTCCTGACCAGCAAGTTGGTGGTTCGACTCCTGGTCTCTTTGCATGCCTAAGTGTCCCTGAGCACTTAACCCCGAATTGCTCCCGGTGGCTTGACTAGTGCTGGTGTGTGAATGGTGTATGATCTCCCTGTAAAGTGCTTTGGCCAGTGCAACACACTGTGAGAAAGCGCTATATAAAATACAGACCATTTACTTGAAAATGTATTTTTGTACATTAACCAGAGGACTAGAAGTTTATTATTAGTATACTAATAAGAAACCTAAAAGGTTACTTTCAGTATACTTCAAAGTGTATTTTCATGGGCACTAGGAGTTTACTGATAGTAAACTAATAGTATACCAAGATGATTACTTTCAGTATACATTAAAGTGTACTTACATAAACTAAAAGTAGACTTGAAGTTTATTAAGACCCCGCCAGCGGGGGGCTTGTGCCGGACCGGGGCCACGCGCACCCCGGCGGGCGGGAACCCAGGAGGGTCGCCCCTCGCATAGGTTCCAGAGCCCGCCAGCGGGGGCCTGCACTCAAGGGGAAATTACCAATCAAACCGAATATTTACGTTTAGCATTACGTCATGGCTGGACTGACATCCCGCGAGAGCAGGCACGGCGCTTCACAGCAGTATTTAGAAGAACAGGTGAGCGCTGATTGATGAGCCAGCCCTACAATTTGAGCAAAACTTTTCATATGGACAAGCATTTTGCAGGTGAGCGGTGTATTTTCATTACTTATTGAAGCTGACAAATTCCACAAATAAAACTGAAGTGTTAGTTGTTTACTAACTAAACTATTTTTTCTTCTCTATCCAAGTGTAGTAAACATGCTGATGAACAACAACCAGGTGCGTAGAATCGAGGAAAATTAACCTTCCCTAGTCCTTAGCAGTACTCAAACTGCGCCAACATCTAAGTTAGTAGTTTGTTTTTTTTTTAATTTGCTACACTAATTTAGTGGTTCCCAAACCTATAAAATGTCGTATGTTACTCATTTTGACCTGGAATTTGGGGGCTTGAAAAGCTCAGTGTTTATACTATAATTACACAATGCAGAACTGTAGTAGGAATGGAAGAACCGTAGCCATCCCAACATTACTGACACTGAAATATTCATCACTAAATTCTCTCAAGGACTCGAGCTTTTTTTTTTTTTTTTTTTTTTTTTTTTGCAGAAGGTTCCGAGCGCAGCTACCAGACTGGCCAAGCTTCCTATTGTTCGCTCGGCTTGTACTAAACTGTTAGTCCTGTACACTGACACGAAACGCGGTCACCCCAACCTGAAGTCTGTGTGTGATGGGGTGGAAGACAGTGTGACCGCTTTAGGCGCTGCGGCCTGTGACAGATTCTCCCCCGTGATTGTTAAACTGGAGCCCCAGAGTGAGTACTGCGTGTTTTGTAGTGTGTTTGATGTGAACCGTGAGGAAAATGGTGAAAAGGCCCTTCACAGGTTCCCAGAACCCAAACTATCATCACAATGGTTTGTCCAACGAGCCCAAAGACATTCATTGAAAATTTAACATATATAATTTTTTTTTTTTTTTTTTAACATAAGTTGGAATCAAATTTAAGGTAATCATTTTATAAAAATGGCTGGTTGACTACTAGTTCATTTTTTGTGTATAAAAGCTGTATCACAAGGTAAGATTTCCAAATTCTGTAACCCATAGCAGAAACACTGAAGAAATGGTTTGGTAGATGTTTTAACAACTTGGCCTATACATGTTGATGGAAAAACTACCAATGATCAGTGTGTGATTCTAGCACTAACAAGTAATCACTAGCATCTAAATTCTTCATTTACAGTTGACTATAATTCGGGTGCTAATTGTTGAAAAGGGGACATTTAAGAAGCAATGCGACTAATCTCTCATAAATGATTGGAGACGTCGTGCTGATGCCATTTGTTGTAGTAGGCTACTGAGAACCTTTCAGTAATGGCTTGTCTGTCTGGAATATTTTCAGTTTCCATTGCAAATGGTGTTGCCTGTAAAAGTCTTGACTGGCTGGAGACTACATTCCCTCTGCTTCAGGCACCCACGGAGCAGGTAACACTTTTTTACTTTTGTCCTTTAAATGCTAATGAGCCCAACAAACTGCCAGTGTTGGGGAGGTTACTTTGAAAGCATTGCTGTGCAAGCTGCCAATGACTTCACACTGGAAGAAGGTTAACTATAGCAACATTATTCTAGGGAGAAATCTAGTTTGGAAAAAGTAGTTCAAATTACTTTTCTTTATAAAAAAGGTGACTGAATGCCACTCAGTTGAGTTTAATACCTGAGAAACCTAAACCTATCCTAACAATTCTGTTTGGGCTTTTCGCAAGGAATGATGTTTTTGTTGTAAACAAATCTGGATTTTGTATTATCCTGACTACAAGTAAAAATATTTAAGTCGCTCCTTTTTAGATCATTTGACCGACTTGAGTGCTGGTCTAAATGATCTTGTCAGTGTTTTAACACCTTACTTGTACTGTTTTGACAATTACAACAGTCTTCAACTTGCATCTTGTTCGACAATGTGACCAGCTTGAACATTGGCCTATCTTTTTGCTTATCAGAACAATCTCTTGTTTATATGACATGAGCAGTTCATAGCATCTCAAAATCCAACAGGTGGATCTGTTTGGATCTGAAAATGTCTGACCCAATGCTGAAAAGCTGCTTACATGCAGCATGAAAAAAAAGTCTTTTTATGTCCCAAATATGTTTGTAGTTTCAGTAAGTTAACTACACAAAAAAATGGCAAAACGTAATTGAAGTACTTGAATCACAACAGAGATGTGAATGCATTTGAACTACCAGCAAGCTACTGGAAATGCAGATGAACTACTAGTTTAATCACATGTAGTTCACCATTCTCCAATGCTGCAAATTGAAGATTTCCTCTGAAAGAGGAAAGAGGATCAGGCCCCCTTGTGGTTTTCTGTTTCACCCAGGTTGTTGCCACTGCCAAGAACAAGATGCATGAGATCCAGGATGCTGTGACTATTGCAGCTAATGGAACTATGGACTGTGTACAGCACACAGTCACATGGGTGATGGAGAGGATGCAGCAGGCTGACGAGGGGACCAACCAGTCACTCGTGGAGAGGGTTATCAGTGTGGCCAGTGTAGGACTGGACTGTGCCCTGAGTGTGTCAGAAGCCATGGTGGACCAAGTGCTCCCTCTCACTGAAGAAGATAAAGGTAGATTTAAAGATCCGACACAGCAAAATGTCACGTTGCAAATGTTCACATGCCTAACAAAATGTGCCTACTTTATATTCCTCAAAATGTCATCTTGCTGACTTTACAGACGATGACACCCACATGGTAGAGAGCTTTGAGGCTGCTACAGTCAGAAGATACCCTGTGCGACTCATTTCCCTCACTGCCAAACTGTGTAGAAGAACGTACCATATGGTTGTGGCTAAGATGCAATCTGTTCAGGTGTGCTGTGAGTAGTGTATGGGGGCAGATTTGACATCTTGTGAGGATGTTTTCATTTAATTTGTTTGGTGAGAGTTGGATAAGATTGTGTGTGAGAAATATGAATATCTTGGCTTAATATATAAACTGCAAATGGGGAAACGGCTAGCCTGGCTCTGTCAAAAGGTAATAAAATTTGACTACCGGCACCTCTAAATATTACTAATTGATAAATTATGTCTGGTTTATATAATCTGACTGAAAATCCCAGTGTAAACATAGCAAGTTGTAATTTCAGAAAAGGTGGTATGGAGCCATTTCTTGACCAGATGCAGTAGATACCTTTTTGTTTATAGGGATTACAGCTAAATAATCAGTTTTTCCCGTCCTGGAGCCTCCACTGGCTGCCTGGCAACCTTGGAGTAATGTCACTGCAGTGGTAATTAATCCTATTTAAACTCTCAAAGAAATTGTACGAGCACATAATCCAAAATGTGAAGCTGCTCCTTTAACAAGAGGTTGAACAGTGGTTGTCTCAAAGCAATATGAGCATGCATGGTTATAGTAAACAGATCAGATTATTGAAAATGATACAGCTCCATTATAAAACTAGTATTATAGAAAATTGTCAGTCTAAAAGCTGTTCCAGTGGCTAATTGAACCCTTAACAAGTATCATGTAGTGGCATAATTTGCAGCAGACATTTGACTTGTACATTAGGAAAAGCACATTAACGGTAAGACAAGACAGCTGAAGCAGCTTAATGGAGTCAACTATCAGCTTATTAGTCTATATACTCCGGTGATGTCTGTGTAAAATGCCTAATTCTGCAAGTTCACTTTTATCTTCAATGTATTCACTTTGCCTTAACTTTTGTTACTTAGGCTACAAAGACTTTGCCCTGGTCTGCATCTCTGATTCAGGACCTTCAGAGCACCTCGCTGGTCTTGGTTTGGAGCATCCAGGGGCTGCCTCAGTACCTGCAGCATCAGCTTGTGTCTGTGTTCTTCTCCATCTCCCAGATGTACAACGTAAACCACACACCACCTGAACAAAGCCGGCGTAGTCAAGCTGGTCACTACAACACATCCCGTACCTCATCTTACAAGGGTGTGGTCCAGGGCCATCCACAGGCTGTGCCTACCTGGCGATTGAGGCCTACCAAGTCATCCGTGTTTGACAAGGGGTGTATGCGTCGTTGATGTAAACTACTGTAGGGGGTTTTATGTTTGTGTGCTTTATGCCCCACAGCTGAGTAAATATTAAATGGTGAATACTGGTGTAAAATGAAAGTTGACTAATAAGTAAATGTTGAAGATTAATAAACTTGAATTCCTCATCCTGACTTTGGCAGTTGATGGTAACATTGTACAAAAAGTCACTATAATGAATACATTAAGGTCAAAGCTGGGGAAATGCAGCACTGACAGATAATTGCACACTGAAGAAACGAGCCACCCTCAGTCTCTGAGCAGAAGTTCAACATGCAGGCAAAAACCTTTACCCCCCCAGGTGACTAACACTTTTAATAGCTTGTTTTTTAGACTGGATTTTCAACCCCACTGTTTTTAAAATGCACAAGCACCATTAAATGTATTAAATTCCATTTTCTATGGCAGAAAACTTTACATCTATATGGTGTATATTTAAACACCGTCAGTGCTACAGGATGTAGCCAGGCCTTGAGGCACCCAGACTAGCATACAACTAGTCAATTTCAGTGTGCTATAGTTGCCCCACAGTTTGAATAGCAAATCTGCAAACAGTCTATGATCTGGACTCAAAACACATTACTGAATGAATTTTCAGCAAAACATTACTTTATTTGACTTTCTAATTTCACTTTTGGCTGGACTCTGACTTGGATGTGGATGCTCTCAGAGAGGAAAGGCGGCGCCTCTTGGCGATCTGCTCCTGGCGCTTCTCCTTGGCTTCCTGTTTGCAGAACAGATGTGCATCAGCCAAATGTTTCAACACAAAAACAGCAGACACATGCACCCAAACAAGTCAATGCCCCAATTATCCACTTCACAAATTACATACTTGCTCCCCCCACTAATTTCTGAACAGAAGACTGCAACCTGATGTACACAGACTATAAAAGTAGGGTTGCTACAGCAAATTGTCAGCATGGTAGTACCAGTAGTAGAAGAAATAGTCACATCCTTAAGTACTCATATCACACTTTAAATGTAGCCTACTCCCTTACAGGTATCACTAAAATGTACTTCAAGTATTAAATGTAGAAGGAGGCTACTCAATGCAGAAAAATGTTATACTGCAGTATATATATCCTACACTGTTACACTATCACTACATTAACAACCCATCACTCATGCACTGATGTAAAAGGAGGATTTGATTGTTTGGCTGAGGTGGAGCTCTGAACTATTTGTGTATTCAAGTACAATTGCCAATTTTCTCCATTAATTGACTTATTTGTAAAACAGTGAGAAGTGCCATCGTAATGCTTCATATGATTATTAGAATAGTTGGCAGTTCACTGTAGGTGCGTGAAATTTGTGTTTGAGGTCAGATCGGGATCAGTGCGAGTCCTTTTGTAAGTCAGAGATCAGTGAATGAATAGACAATGGACAATTTTTCTATAGCGCATTTTATGACGGGCATTTATATGCTCATACGTTATTGTTTGGGATTAACGTTATAGATGGGACACATTTTGATCTGCACAGAGGGATGATGTTCTCAAAGGCGTTTGTTTTTGAGATACCCCGAGTAATCCTGCTGCTGATTTAAATTATTTTGGTGGATGGAGTTTGGTGATGCCACCCTTCTGCAGAGCCTCACAGGCAGTCAGAGAAGGAAGGCGTGCACGCATTACTTTTTTCTTCTTCAATACTGGTAATAGGCAAATGTGCATGGTATGAAAACCATTAATTTTTATACCATGGTATAATGTGAAACTGGGATACTGTTGCAACCCTACATGAAAGTCAGTTCCTTCAAAAGTAAAGCAGTGGTGGAATAAGATGGCCCTGTCCTTCCAACTTCTACATGACCCATGTGGTTTAACTAATAAATATGCTATATGTGCAATAATCTCATGACCTATTTTGCAAGTATGACACCACTATTAACATTTGAGGCAAGAGCCGTCCAAGTACACCAGAGTAAAGGTGTTACCTGCAGAGATCAAATGCAGCAGTGACCAATACTTTAAGATGCTTCACTCTACAGAAACTATAAACTTATTTTATTTATCAAGTTAGACTTACTAGAAGTTCACTAGAGCAGCATCTTTTTTTTAATTTCTAACAGTTCTGCTTTGTTCTTGCTTGTGGGTATTTACCAAGTGGATAACATAGGAAATCAAAAATGAATGTATACCTTCATCCTCTTGGCCAGCAGCTTGGCATAATCGGAAGCCTCCTCCTTGTTCTTCTGGGTGCGCTGTCTCTTGAGGGCGATGCGGCGACGCTTGTGCTGCAGCACACGAGGTGTCACCAGTCTCTGGATCCTGGGAGCCTTAGTTCTGGGCTTCTTGCCTACCAACAAGAGGAAATGCAGTTTATAGACAGAATGCTGGGAATGTGTTACAAATGCCTGAGTCTTGAGGAAAAATGTTAATTTGCCACCTTCAACCCTTCAACAGTTTAAATGAACAATGCAAACATTGGGTGCAGGCGGCCTTGGTACAGAGACTCAATGGGCCAACTGATGACAGGAAAGAACTGGTTCATGCCACACTTTGTTGGAACATGTCGGAAATCAAACAGAAAAACTGGCCGACAGACATGGGCAATGCGATACTGTTCAAATGGAGACAATGTGCACATTTGCCTCCTGGAAGGCATTCAGCGTTACACTCAACAGGTTAACACAAAGTTACAAAAATGGTCAACACATAACTGTTCCACCCACTACATGATTTCACATCACGTGCATCTTGATCTCAGCTCTTGCACTCCAATTTGTATGCAAAGTCCCAAAGGGGATTTTTTTGCCACCACTGATGTTACTAGATGCAAGATATATTTTGGCCTTCTAAAATGTACAATAAATACAGTACAACTTCGTAACACTAAGCATCTGATTGCTGGTAGGGTGATGTACAGAAGTCAGGAGTAACAACAATTCTATGCACAATGAGCTGTAATATAGTTAAACATTTATTTATTCATCCATCAGGGACCATGTACAAAAACAATATACAATGAGAAAAGATGCACTGTATCATATTTAGGTACCATTTTGAAGTATCGAATTCAATGTAACATCTTCTCATCTTGTCTCATGTTATTTTGTGGGTATTCATAACACAGCAAAGACACACAAGGGCAGAGGAGAAGCAACAAACATTCATGCGCTTCGTCTCCAGTTGTATCTGGCCATAGGCCCAGAAAAGGCTTATGCTGCTCCTTGACCTCTGATTGTGTCAACACATGGTGGAGTGTAAGAATACTGACAAGTATTAATAAGCGTAATGTGTGTGCATATATAGGCCTATCATGTATTTTGGGCTTTATAATATAAATTTTATACTTAAGACTTGATACATACCAACACACCAACAAAATGACTTAGTCAAGAACAGTAAAATATCTGATATGCACATCCCATCCTGATGTCGAGTATTAAAGCCAAACCAAATGTATTAAAAACATCTAGCCATAAACATGGGAAAGAGCTTATATAACAAGATACAATACAAGTTATCATTTCCCCAGTACTTGAACCACTGTTAGAAGTATCTAAAATTAACATTTTAGCACAATTCTGGGCTCAATTTTAACTTATTTAGAGATACACATCTCACTTTTGAGTAGCAGTCAGTCACATAGACCTTGATAATATCAAACTTCACAGGGCCAGCCACATCGGTGGCAAGTAAATATCACCTACATTCAGTGATTCATTCAAAACATGCAGGCTTAAGTAAAAACGGACAGTACGACAAAAAGCTCTAGCCTTACCTTCCTTTGTCAGGGGTCTCCTCACAACATACTGCCTGACATCATCCTCCTTAGCAAGGTTGAAGAGCTTGCGGATCTTGCTAGCCCTCTTGGGACCAAGACGGCGAGGGACAGTGCTGTCAGTCAGCCCAGGAATGTCTTTCTCACCTGAGAATAACCAGATCAGGAGAAGATGAGTGGAAATACCAAGTTGATGCAAACTGCACAGCTAACATCTTTGAATATTTTCCACAATGAGTCAAAATGCTGAAAGGCACAGTGTGTTTGGTCACCCAGGATAAGCAGCAAAATGACCAGGAGTACTACTCTTGGTGTGAATATGACCACACTGCAAATCATTTCTCATGACTGCCATGCACACAATCGTTCAACAGGAAATTGCACTAATGATAAAGAACTTAAAACAGTACTGCCGCTTTCACTTTGCTGTCATTCATGGCACATTGGAAGGAAAAGGAAAGAAAAATATACCCAGTACAATGCATTGTTAAGACAATATAAATATTGTGCGTTTTGACAATAACAAAAAAAAAAGAGCAATGGCATTAGTGTCATTCTACAACTACTGTGCACAATGAGAGAGCAATGCAGTTCAACCATCCACAGATCCTGGGTCTGGTCGCATCTGGTAAGCAGCTCCACAGTTACTCTGGCAACAGCCTGTCCCCCCTTTATGACTACTGAACAATCGTAAAGGGTCTGCTGCTGTGCCATATGAATAATTTACAAATGATATTAAGAAACATCCCTAAAACTGAGTTTCATTTATCATAAAAAGGTCTGTACTGTGTAGCCATTGAGAATTATATAGTGGTTTGTTTTAAATTCCATTTACTATTTGAATAAAATGGCCCCTATGAGCCACACTGAACACATTACCTTTCTTGACGATGACCAAGTTGAGAACACTGAGGTTGGCGTCAACGATGCAACCACGCACAGACTTGCGCTTGCGCTCGCCAGTCCTACGTGGACGGTAGCAGGAGTGGCCCTTGCTGAGCAGCAGGCGTACACGGCCGTGGGTCAGCACACCCTGCTTCATGGGGAAGCCCTGCTTATCGTTGCCTCCGCTGATGCGCACCACATAGCCCTGCAAAAGTAGAGAAAACAAGATAAATCTGTTTTTCTATTTAGGAAAACTGGTACATAAAAAAAAACAACAACAGTAATTTGCTTTATTACATCCATAATTTTACGTTTTGACAAGAGATAGGGCAGTAAAGTTTCAGAATCCATAAGTATCAAGACTGTAGTTGGATAATCAACTATCCTTTAATTAAGACATGGCCAAAAGAGGCAAAACACTGGTGATAGTGGCTCAGAAGGCGGAACAGGTTGTCCACCAATTGCAGGCTTGGTGGCTTAATTCCCAGCGCTTCCTGTCCTGAATCCCAACTTCTGATGGCAACAACCTTGTATAATATAGTAAAAGCAGTCGGTTTACCAATGACTCTACCTGCAACCTCTTTAGAACTTGGCAAACCCAACATTGATGCTTTGACAGAATTTTACAGAAATTTCTTGCCAATTTAGTCTTAAACTGTATCAACTAGTCACTTCTTTGGAGATGTGAGGGAACTGAGAGAGCAGTGCTGTTTCAATCAGTCATAGTTATATGGTCTGGTTGTATCTGGCCAGCAGCTTTGCAGTTTCTCTGGCAACACACTGTCCCCCCTTAATGTCTATGGACCAGTCAAAAAGGGTCTACCGGTGTGCCACATTCAGTATAACCTCTAAACAACATTTTTACCAAACCAATTCAAAGTTTACACTCAGCATCTTAACAAGGATATAATGAGTCTAAAGACATAAGCTGTGAAGATCAGCACTTACCTTCCACTCATCTCCCAGAGGGTCAGCAGCCACTTCAGTGGCCATACGCTTCTCATAGAAAGTACGTAGCTTGCGCTCATCATCAACTTCGAACAACTTCTGGCAGCCAGTAGCAGGGAACGAGATGTTCAGCTGCAAGAATTGCATTATAGTTGTTACTGATTTATGCCATACTCTTATCTAATTTCACTTCGACCATGACTATACCCTAGGTAGGTATATCAGGTAGCGTTAGCTGTGAATAACGTATAGTGAGATTAGACCTAATTAAAGTTGCTGGTGGACTAAACACTGGGACCTGACACATAAGGAAAACACCACCTCTGTCACATAAGAACTGTTACACTTGCAGTTGCCGTATTTCATCCTAAGATTGAATCAATGCGAGGCCTGTTAAATTGGCTTCGGTCAGCTAGGGAACTCAAAAGTTCGCTATTGTTAGCACGTTGGACACTGCTAACAATAATACGACCAGTGTAACGGCTAACGTTAAAACAGAAAATGCGACTAACATGGCAGGTTCGTGTAACATAAGCGACAAGAGCTTAAATGCTCTATTGCTCTAAGACCTCAACTCATTGCACATTTCTCTAAGTGTGCGGCCATGTTTCTGTAGTTAACTTGCCGACAGGGTCAATCAGCGCTAACGCTCATCATAATCAAACCTCATCCTAAAAGTCACAGACACTACTGCTACATCCGACTAGTCCTAGTTAAAGCTCAGAATCGTGGCTTTAATCACACTGGAATATTACAAAGAAAGTAGCTTTACAAAGAGAAACAGTTTGAAAAATATTGTACCTTCATTTTGCCAAACCGACACTTTGACGGTCCGCTACGGAAAAGAGAACGGATATCCGCTCCGTGATCTCACATAGACCCGAATGTTATCGCGATAACTCGCTCGATAAAAACGGAGCAGATTCAAGTTATTAAACAAATTTACAATGGTGGGAACAGACGCCATATTTGCTCAAGCATATTGTACATAAGTACTGTTCTTGTACTTTACTTCAGTATTTCTATTTTCTGCTTTGATCCACATTTTCCACTGCACTTCAGAGAGGAATTAGATTTTTACTCCACATTTATTTGATAGTTATGCCTTCTTTTCAGAACATTAAGCTGATAAAATTCAACATAGGCCAAGATTTCAGGTTTTAACCTTTTAATTTCTCATAAACCTCCCACATGGTTTCATGCAGTAATAAAAATCTAATGGGCCTATATGCTTATATTCCTACCGTAAAATGAAAAGCTACTTTAAGTTTTTATATTTTAAGTAGTCGATATTTTTCGGACAATAACATATTTCTGTAGGCTATTTCTGTAGGCTATTTTATTTAACGTTTTCATACAATTGAATCCACGCCTCGTTGAAACATTTTTAACAAAAAGAAGCATAACCATCTTTAAGAAGGGACGATTTATTGCACAACTGTTGCATTAGACTACCTTAATTTAGATTGGTGTACGTAATAAACTGACAGCTGACTGACAATGAATGCATTGTTAAGTCACTGAGCATGCGTCAGACCAAGGGTGCCAAAGAGTAAGGAGCTGTGATGAGAAGATAATTATCATCCCATTTCAGCTATAACTTTAAGCAGAAATGCTAATTTCTTTAATTAGCTACGGAAAACTGTATTTCTCAGCTAACTAATGCAATCATACCTACGCATACAGATGTCAGACATCATCATACATAGCCTAAACATGCACGCAGCATTGAAGCAACTGCTGAGCAAAATTCGTCATTTTGTAGCTTAAAGGCTTTAGACCTTTTAAAATTAACTTTATTAAAAACGTGATAACAGCGTGAACAATCCATAATTAAGATGGCACTGTAAAAAATTCAAAGGAAAGACCTAAATAAGAGCAACACGAGAATAAAAAACTAAGTTCAAGGACGACAAGAAAGTAAAGCAACGTGATTAATAGTGGCCTATAGCCTAGTAACACTATTCAACAGTCAATAATCATCAGTATTCAAAATGCGACACTAATAGATTACCAGTTAAATAAACCTAGTGTATGTACAATGTAAAGAGGGTAGCGTAGCGTGCACTAAAAAGTACAGCGAAAACAAAAGTAAAAGTTACGGTAGTTAAAATGGGAAGGTAAACCATGCAAAGATTTGTAATACAGTATGTTTATGTTGTATTCCCCTCCCAAATCCCCTGTTTTATTATCATGATCCTATGAACAGTATTTTTCTTGTGTGGTTAATCTACATGACAGCACTGTGATTTTCCGGAGTCCAGGGATATGAGCTTACGTTTTAGCGAAGGATGAAGCAGGCAGGGGGGAAACCTCTTGCGGCGCTTTAACACTCTTTGGCCACAGATGGAATAACTGTCAGTGCACCGAGCGGAGCGTCACCAAAAAACATGGACACGTGAACAGAAGCGATCTTAAAATGCAGCTCAGCGAGGACTTCTGTAGTATAGCGGATTGTCTGATTCACAATACGTGTCAGATCTTAAACGTTAACATTTGACGTGTGATCAAGGAACCGAGAAGCAGTGACTTTTCTCGAGTGTTTTAATCTCCAAGGCTGTCGGCGGAGTGTTGTCTGCTCTGCACTGTCCACCCGACTGAACTAGTCCAGACATGACCAACATAAATCTTGTTTTCTGGGACCAGTTGCAGGCTGGCAGCTCCGATGTGGACTGGTGTGAAGGCAATTACCTAATTTACCCCAGCATCGCTGAATTTTACAACACGGTCGGTGTGAAAGTCGTTGGACTTGTAGCTAAAAATGTGTGCTTTTTGTCCCCCCGGTGTTTGTTTACGGTCGTAGCTAGACCACGGCTTTCTGACTTTTTCTTTGTAATGCGCTGCTTTATTGTAATATTAACCTCAGGTTAACTGTATCCAGCTTCACATTCTCCTGACTTTCAGGAATGTTGGCTGCTTGTCAGGTTTACTGATAGCATCAGGTCACACATTTTTCTTTTCTTCATTTCAGCTAAATGCAAAGGGTCATTGAGGTCTGCACACTGGCCGGCTTTGACAAGCATGTTGTCATTTAGCTACATTGTGATGTAGTTTTGCTCATAGCTTTTACTTTTGTTTATCATTGCAGATCAGCAACATTTTGTTTTTTGTTTTGCCGCCCATATTAATGTGCTTGTTCCACCAATATGCAACACATTTCAACAGTGGGATTTACCTCATATGGATTCTACTGGTTGTGGTTGGTAAGTTGGCTGTCAGGCATTATTAATGTTTCTTTACTGGATGATGACCCCTTAACCCTTCACCTTTATGTTCAGGACATCATCATCTAACATCATTTACCTAACACCAAAACGTGTCAGGCTCCTATTACATGCATTTGTATACTATGTGCCAAAAATACAATAACCCTCAAGTATAAAACATGTGTCTGTGATATCTGGTGCAGAACAAGCCTCCTGTACAGTCCAGTAGAACCGCTCACAGCTCTG